AGGACATTAATATGAGACTGATTTGTAGGATCCTCAGAATAGACTTACAGGTGATGGTATGATAGTTATAGAAATATGAACCATCCCCCAAGGTTTAGAGCTGCCATATACTTTATGCTGTGTTCCAGTTAAGGACTCTCAGAGGAACAGCACTGTCAGCATCTAAACAAAAGCAACACAAATTTCAAGACCTCAGAAGAAGCTCCTGGGATGTGGACAGCTCCTGTAGGCTGGTCTCAACTGATTATCTGCTTTAAGCTTTGAATCTTCAGGCACACCATGACTTGCACAGGGGAACACACTTCCCAGGCTCTTAATTCAATTGAAACATTGCAGTATAGTTTATCCAGTTTTATGTTTAGTCATATATAACTACCCTTTGGTACACAAAAGTTAGGAAATCATACATTAAACTGCCATAGAGGTAGTCCAACCCATTACATGGAAACCCGTTTAATAAAGTGTACTCCAACATATTCAATTCCAAACCCATTCAACATCTGGATATTTAGAGGTAGTCCAACCCACTACAAGGAAACCCATTTAATAAAGTGTACTCCAACATATTGAATTCCAAACACATTCAACATCTGGATATTTAAAGAGCAAAGTTCTGAGAAGCTGTAAGTCCTTCCCAAGTCACCAATTACTCAGGAATTATTACAGCTCTTGCACACAGTTGTGATGGGCAGGTGACAGGTTTTCAATCCCATTTGTTGCACAACCCAATAGTCATTGAGGTGCCATAACTACTGCTGGGGTTGCATGGAAGAGCCAAGGGGGAGGCAAACGCTGCAGGAAGACTCTGTAGAGCAATCCAGGTGGCTTGTAAACAGTGAGACCTTCACCTCTGCTGGCTGCTGGACACAGACGGTGCCTGCGTATTGCTGCTTGCCTGGCAAAAATGAGACTGCAGAACTGCACAAGCAAGAAGTATCACACCACAAGGTGATAAATAGAACCCCTAAACATGACAGGTACAGGCTCAGAGGTCAGCAGTTTTGCAGGAAGCCACTATCTTTATATGCACTTTTATAAGTAGCTATTACAAAAACAGTGACTGGAGGCATGTGAATTGCTGTGATTCTCAACAAACCTCACTCAGTATCATGAACTTAAGATAATCTGCAACAGACAAAGCTGAAGGAAACCACACAACACAGGCAGATCACAGTAATCTTATCTTAATCAGTATAGTTGGCTTTTAATTACCAGCTGGAAGTTATTACACTACCGAGTGCCTCACAGAAGCAGAGTTTAGCTCCATAGTGAAAGCAAAGTCCACCAGGACTTTTCTGTACAATGCTCCATCTGAATGAACGCTCACCTCCTTGAACACTGCCAGGGGTGAATGCTCCATCCCTGGCAGCATTCAAGGCCAGGTTGCACAGAGCCTTGGGGGTCATGGTTTAGGTGAGGTGTCCCTGGCTGTGGCAGGGGGTTGGAACTGAATGATCCTAAGGTCCTTTCCAACTGCTCTGTGATTCTATGAATTACCACAGCTATGGCACACCAAGAACTAGCTCCCGTCTGGAAACGATTTAGCCATACCATGCAGAGTACAAACCAAATAAGCCATACTGCGCCTGAGCTGCCTTCACACGAAGCTTCAGCAGCTCTGCACAGCATTCCCAGAACCAGGAGCATCCAGGAGAGTTCATCTGGGTCCAACACACGTTGTGAAGCCCAACTGGTCACGACTCTACCCAGACCAAACACCTCCTCTCGAACTTGTATGCACAACCTCCGGTACAAGCAACCAGCCCCATCCAACACTAACCATTGCAGATGTTTAAACGCCTTCTTGCTCGGTTTGAGTGGGGCTCCCCACGGGCACCCCACGGGGAGGGGGGCCCAGGCCGAGCTCTTTATCCCGGGCACAAGCATCCCCTCATCACCGCCAAGGGGCTCTTTCTGCACCTCATGGCTGTCTCCCACCAGCGGCTGGGCCACCGGCACCAGCGGGAGGTGGGCAGGGAAGCGGGGGTCGGCTGCGCTGCGGCCTCATCGGCTCCACAGGCCCGCGGGCGGGAGCGTCCACTCCGCACACGCGTGGTCCCCGCGAGTCCCCGTGGGCGACGAGATGGGGCCCGCGGGCCACCGGCCCGCGGGCCCCATCTCGTCGCCCACGGGGACAACCGCGCTCGGGGCGGGCTCTTACCGAGAGGCGGCTCCGGCGCCGGGCCCGGCAGCGCGTCCCGCAGCGGACATGGCAGCCCCTCCCTCTCCTCAGCGCCGCCCGGAAGCAGCGCTCGGCCGCGGAAGTGACGAGCCGGCCCGCGGGGCGCGGAGCTGAGGGGGCTTCGTCCGTGCTGGGCTCGGGGTCGGGGGCTTCGATGGGGTTGGGGTCACTTAAAGCAGGGATGGGGCGGACACTGCTGCTCTGGGCACCCTGTGCCAGCGCCTCAGCACCCTCACAGGGAAGAGCTTCTGCCTAAGAGCTCACCTCAGTCTCCCCTCGGGCAGGTTAAAGCCATTCCCCTTGCTCAAAGCCCCTCAAGGCTTCTTCAAGACCCCCTTCAGGTGCTTGCAACTAAGGAAGTACACGTGTAAGCAGGAATATATCAGAAAACACTAGAGAGCGACTCTGGAAATGGCACTGGTGGGATGTTTTTACCAGATACTGTTTTACTTCAGGAATGTCTAGGTTAAAACAAACGTAGGCAAGTTAGAAAGCAGTAGGAACCACAGCGGGGAAACAGGAACCAGAAAACCTGTTTGCTTATAGTCTTAAGAAGCTCCAGGTGCAGCAGACTAACGTGATTTAAATGATCTTATCTAAGAACCCTCAAGCAGAAAAGCCTTAAAACAGTCACTGCGCAGCGGCAGGGATGGGGCAGCCACAGCTTCTCTGGGCACCCTGGGCCAGCGCCTCAGCACCCTCACAGGGAAGAGCTTCTGCCTAAGAGCTCATCTCAGTCTCCTCTCTGGCAGGTTAAAGCCGTTCCCCTTGGCCTGGCCCTACAGGCCCTTTTCCCAAGCCCCTCTCCATGTTTCCTGCACCCCTTCAGGCACTGGAGCTGCTCTCAGGTCTCCCCTTCAGGAGCCTTCTCTTCTCCAGGCTGACCCAGCCCAGCTCTCTCAGCCTGGCTCCAGAGCAGAGCTGCTCCAGCCCTCGCAGCATCTCCATGGCCTCCTCCGGCCTTGCTCCAACAGCTCCACGTCCCTCTTGTGCTGCTGCCCCAGAGCTGGACCAGGACTGCAGGGGGGTCACCCCAGAGCACGCTGCTGCTCACACTGGGGATGCAGCGCGGTACCAAGGCTCATCCCTTGGGTATAAACGCAGAAAGATGAGAAGTTAAAGGACAAAACGCTTGAGGACCACGCTTTATTTAAAAGAACTTCTGAGGATCCATTTTATTGCAAGGTAAAGCAGAGCCATGCAACAGCGCGGTAAAACCGACAGGGATTCCAGGAACGGAAGCAGAAGCTCAGGCTGGTGTTTAGGAACGCATTACTGCACATCTCCTGAAGCATCCTCAGGGCTTCTTCCTCCCACTTACCCTTTTCCTCCGATACAGGTTTATATTTGTTCTCTGAGCCCCCGCTGGCCTCACAGCTGTTTTCTGGGGAGTGCAGCATGCTCTTTACCCCCGGCGAGCAAGCTAAGCTGCAAGCTCTGTTCCAGGCTTTCCAGGAATGAACAGAAGATCTCGTATTTACCAGATCCCCACGTAAAATCCCTTCCTATCTCCTCCAAGCCCTGCCAGGCTCCATCTGTTCGGTGCTCTGGGGGCTGTGCAGCAGGCGCGCTCGGCTGGCTCACCGGCTGGCAAAGGGAGGAGAGGAGCGCTCCAAAGCTCCTCCTCTGCCACTACAGGAGCTCCTCAGGCAGAAGGTGCTACCCAGGGAGGGCAGAAATCCAGAGGTAGGTTCCTTTAGCAAGCAGGAATTGGGATTTGAATTCCAGGAATCATTCCCCTTGCTGTGTGCCGTGGCTCGGTTGACTGCAGATGCAGGGCAAAGCTTTGCTCGTGGCTGAGGGGCATGGTCAAGGAGTTCTCCCTCTGCCAAGAGGTGCCAGGGGGGAATCTTTATGGGTGACCATTACTGGAGCAGGGTCCAGGGCCAGGAGGGAAATGTAATTGGATCAAATTGTGGCATCCAATTGGAATTGCCATTGGAATCCAGTGTGATCGGATTCTTTCCTCTGCCTGGCACTGGGTCTCGAGTGCCTGGCTGGCCCTGGCACATGGCATTAGAGGAAGAATCATCTCATTTCCTTTGCCCATTGGCACAGGACAGCATAAGCTGCCTGAGGATCTTCAGGAGATGCCTCTGAAGGACTCGTATCTCCACTGAATGTAGGCAAGGCCTCATACAGATGTTAGTCCTATCTATCTTTGGAAAGACTGGGGCTTATCTTTCACATTCTCTGGTGTGTGTGGGCAGGCTGCTGTCCTTGCCCGTGATTAATCCGTGCCACAGGTCAATGCACTTCTCCTGTCATCAAACAGACTCTCTGCTGTAGTTTAGGGAACCAAAAACAGTTGTGCAAACAAGTAAGTTCCCGTCCTTGCCCAATTTCCTGTGCTGGATTGAGCAATTTGGGTTAGGAAAAGAACCTGCAGTGTCTCATGATTGGTAACTGAACTCAGCACCCTTGGAAAACCACTTTGCCCCAACTGACTGCAGGCAGCCCTGAGCGAGGGGTCTCCAGCCTTGTCAGAGTACATGAGTTACGTGTGTGTCATGTGTGCCGCGTCACTGCACAGCTCTGATGCACTCAGGAGGTGGCCATGACCTGGTACTTCACTTGTGGTAGCATCTCAAGAACTACTCAGCTTCATTTCTTCACAGCAGCAATAGAAAGACTGGGGGGAAGGATTAAGGCAAAGTTGCTTGCTACAGCCCTAATCGAAATAAACAAGAATAAAGATACTGAAGCATTTTAAGCTGTTCTTAACATAATGCCCATGCTGACAATAACCTTCTGTTATCTGGAGCCTCCAAAGTGAGACTGGATTTCCACGGACGCATGCAGTCAGCCTGGGGTTACTAAACTGATCCAAGAGCTGGGAGCAGAGGCAAAAGTCTGTGATAGCTCCTGCCAGGCACGTCAGGTCTGGGCCCCACCAGACCATGCAAGTAGGCAAGAAGGGATCAGAGGTGCAGATCTCTTCTTTGAAGGCATTTGAGGAACTCTTTGGAGTACAACCCCTCTAGGCACTCAAGAACAGCTCAGACTCTCTTCACAGAACTGTGCTTACAAAAGTCACTCGAGATGAGCAGCTCTGTTCTTCCAGGTCTTTTAGGAGTCCTGATGCTGGATTCTTCATGGGAGCTGGGCAGGCAGAGGACCAGGGACGGTGCTGGGGGGGATTTCAGTGCACTCAGCTTCTACCTGCTCAGCGCACAGACCTGGTGACACATTTCTCTCACATAAAAGCAGACCATGTGAACTGTTCTGGGTGCCCATGAGAACATCAGCCCAGACAGAAGGTGCTTTTCTGCCAGACTGCTACAGGCTCCAGTTCTGCCAGTTGCATGTGATAGAAGAAATGAGCATCCATTCTTCTGTCTAATGGGAAAAAGGAAATGTAAGATCCTGCTGCTCTGCTGTGTCCCTCAGTGCCTCTCCTTGAGAAAAGATGGGTGACTCACTCACACATCTCGATCTGCAGTCGGAGCAGGGCTGAGCTAGATCCCAATGGCATCCTCCTGGTGAATGGTGCCCTCGATCACTGTGTCTGTGGTTTGCCTGGAGCACTTGCGACTCCCTTTCATGCTTTTCAGTTTTTCTGAAAGATGCTTCTGGAACTTCTTGGTGAGGAAGCAGTAAATGATAGGGTCCAACACACAGTTTGTACTCAAGAGGCACAAAGTCACCTGGTGAGCATCATTGAGCTGTTGGCGCAACTGGCAGTTTTCTCTCTTCCACTGCTCCAGAACAGTCAGGGTCCAGGGCAGATGCACCAGGTGATGAGGTACAAAGCTTATGATGAACACAGCTAGCACTGTGCACACCAGCCAGAGTGCCCTTTGCTTGACATGAGCACTCTTCCGTGGCTGTGTTGGTTTGGAGAACAGGGTCCTGATAATGATGATGTTCCAGCCTAGTATAAAGATGAAAATGATATAGAAGAGGATGCAGATGATGACGTGGATGGCGAGAACAGCTGAAACACTGCCAGAAGAGTCATAGTGCTCAAAGCACCGCGTGACATTCCTAGATTTGACCTCCTCCTGGTTAGTATTATTGTCAAAAAGGTAATACAAAGAGCTGCCCACGATTATAATCCAGATAGCTGCTGATAAGTAGATCCCCCTTCGTTGGGTGGTAAACTGAGCAGCTTTAATGGGGTTAGTCACAGCTTGGTAACGGTTGTATGTGATGACCATCAGGAAGGCAACAGAAGAGTAGGTGTTCACAAAAAATAGAGTGCCAGCCACGTTACAGAGGAACTCGGGCATGATCCAGTCTCCACGGTGGTGATAGTAAACAATCCACATTGGCATCGTAACTAAGAAGAGCAGGTCAGCTACTGTCAGGTTCACCATGAATATCTTGATCTCATTGAGTTTCTTGGTGGGGTAAATGCGGCTGAAAATCCAGAGCACGTAGCAGTTGGCAGCAAAGCCCAGAATGAAAATGATGCTGTAGAAAACAGTGAAGAGGTTGTAGCGAAACTCTGAGTCGATGTAGCAGGAAATGTAGGAACCAGCACCACCTGCAGCACCGCCTTTATCCTTTCCAGACATCATGGTGCTGGGGGGGTACGTTTGAAGTAGAATTCCCTGCTGTAGCTTCCCTTCTCACCTGAAAACATACAGCATAAAATGAGTTCATAGGTGCCATTGCTGAGCCAAACCCCACCTTTCCTTTTGAGCTCTCTGTGACCCCAGGACCCCTGCTTGTGTGACAGGACACGCAACAGAACACAGGAGAGATTTTCTCTTCATGCAGTGTTGTTTGCTGCAGTGAGGATCGCAGATCACACATGTCTAATCTCAAAAGGCTTTTCTGCTTGAGGGTTCTTAGATAAGATCATTTAAATCACGTTAGTCTGCTCCATCTGAAGCTTCTTAATCTTTGACTATAAGCAAACAGGTTTTCTGGGTCCTGTTTCCCCGCTGTGGTTCCTACTGCTTTCTAACTTGCCTACATTTGTTTTAACCTAGAAATTCCTGAAGTGAAACAATGTCTGGTAAAAACATCCAACTAGTGCCATTTCTAGAGTTGCTCTCTAGTGTTTTCTGATATATTCCTGCTTACACTTGTACTTCCTTAGTTGCAAGCACCTGAAGGGGGCCTTGAAGAAACCTGGAGAGGGGCTTTGGACAAGGGCCTGTAGAGCCAGGCCAAGGGGAATGGCTTTAACCTGCCAGAGGGGAGACTGAGATGAGCTCTTAGGCAGAAGCTCTTCCCTGTGAGGGTGCTGAGGCGCTGGCACAGGGTGCCCAGAGAAGCTGTGGCTGCCCCATCCCTGGCAGTGCTCAAGGCCAGGTTGGACACAGGGGCTTGGAGCAAGCTGCTCTAGTGGAAGGTGTCCCTGCCCGTGGCAGGGGTTGGAACTGGAGGAGCCTTAAGGTCCCTTCAACACAAACCAAAGTCATTCTATGACTCAATGATTTCACATTCACTTCATAGACTACCAGACCTCCCAGTTTTTTCACTGAGTGATGTACAGAATGAGTTACTAATCCTAAAGGGTGGTGTTTTGTGGTATGTCGCTGATTTTTCCTACAGTTTCTCTCTCTTCAAATCCTGGCTGTTATCTATCATGCCATCATTTTGAGCTGCCATCAAACCCATTTGTCTCCCTTCCCCTTGTTTCTGGAGCAAATGCAAGTGTCAGCAGCAGCAGTTCCTGTGTCACTGGTGAGGCTGACAGACACTGTCCCTAAAGAGATGTCCCCACCTCAGTTGGCATTTCTTCAACTCTTGCTTGAGTTTGGACGTACCAAATTCCTGCCTCACCACTCCTATATGTGTTCCTGGCTCAGATTTACATGGATTGGGTCTAATCTCTTGTATAGTTCCAGCTGCTGCTTTCGCCATCCAGAGGATGTACACACCTGCTCTTGGCCCTGGTGCCAACTCCCTGTCTGATGGACTCACCTCTCCTCTGATGGATACAACCCTGCAGATCAGCTTGGTTTTGTCTCCCTCTTCCTTCCTGGAGTGCTGCACGTTGCAATGTACTTGCCTTGGCTCTGCCAGCTCTACAGCATTTCCCCCCAAAGACTTGCTGCCTCCTGAGAAGGCACCATCCTGCCTCAAAACTCTCTGGATCTTCCCCAGCGGTAGTGGCATGAGCCCCCATCGCACCCTCCCTAGGCTGAGTCTCTATGTCCATGTGTTGTTGGTTCCCCATTTGCAACTTCCCACTGCAGATGGGGAAGTCAGCTCTAGCTCAGGAAAGCTCTCCCTTTCTTCAGCAGACTCTGCAACCCCCTCACTATCTCTTTCCACTTGTTAAGAGAGGAAGACAAGAGTCATCTTGCCAAGCCTGTCCCTCCTTGAGCCTCACAGGTCCCCTAAGAACAACTCAGGATATCCACAACGCGCCCTTGGACCTTCACAGGCAGCACTGGGGTTTGGGTGCCTTTAATCTTTGAGGCAGGTTCCCTGTGAATTAATAAGCAGCTGTGGCAGTGCCAGTGGTTGGCCAGGGGACGGATGTGTTTGTCCTCTCCCACCTTGCTGAGACATCTAGAGGGCAGTAGCCAACTGGGGGGTGGTACCCAGGAGGTGAGGATGCTCTGGGCTATGACACCTCGGGGTCTGGCCACACAGGTCTGGCACATCCCTGAGGAGAGGTCCCAGAGGAGGCAGGGGACCGCCTCCATTCCCTGCTCTGCCTTTGATTCACACAGGACCCAAGGCAGGTCCTACTGGTCATCTCATGTTTCCACACCCTCATCTGGATAGGAAAAGTCATTGTCACAACATGGCCTTAAATGAATGTCAGTGTCTAAGCCCAACTCTCCCACCCACTGCGGGACCATCTCAGGTAAAGAAGGGTTTGCATCTCTGAGCTTGGGATGGCACCTACCAGACGCAGACATTCAGGGAGGGGGTGAGGCCGTGCAGGGGCAGGAGAAGCTAATGGGGAGCTCTGTGTTTGAAACCCTGTGGCCTGGAGAGGGAAAAGCAAAGCCCTGCACTGCAGGTGGGTTTGAGCTATGGGGCTGCATGAGATGAATGCAAGGACGTGCTCTGGTTTTAAGTCTGACAGAAATCTCTGGCAGAGGTGGGCTGTGGGAGACGGCCGTGGTGTCTCCTGGCCACAACAGCACTTGGTAGAGCTCATCAGGTTTGCATCAGCGGCTGTGCAGTGCCAGTGCCAAGGTCCTCCAGGGAATCACGGGAGTGTTGTTTTTCCCTTCCTGCTTTAAGCCAGATACTCAACAGAATGCAGCTAGAAGAGAGTGTGGCACCATTCCCCTAAATGTACTCAATTCCCACTTCCCTCTTCAGTCGGAGGACCTCAGGCTTACGTGTCCCATGTACTTGTGAGCTGTCCTAAACCCTAGACGCTGGAGCATGGTCTGGGGCATCTCACTCAGCCTCTCCCTTTGCATAAAGCAGGTCAATATTCTCCATGCCAGCAGAAAGGAGGAGGGGTGCAGTGGTTAGAGTGGGGCTGGAAGGTGGGGGTCCTGTGCTCTGCTGCAGCAGCCAGTGCTGCTGCCTTACCCAAATCCCTGGAAACTTGAGCCCAAACCCAAGCCAAGCCCAAGCCACTACCAGTACCCCAGTACCCCAGCTGGTAATCCCAAGTGGTTTATAGCATCATCTCCACTCTATGCAGAACCAGAGGTTCCAGGAGCGGACTCTGCGCCCAGTCTGCACCCTGGGCCCTGCTCTCCCGATGAGGATTTACAAGCTTATGGCTGCAGAGTGCAAAACCCACGCTAACACAAGCTATGCCATCAGCAATAGTATATTCCAAGAGGAGTTATACTAATGAAGTGTGGTTTTGTGCTTACCAGAGTCGAAAGGCTTCAGCACGATTTGGCCATCTTCAGCTTCAGTAGAGCGGTGATGGGTGTTTTACTGAGGATGCTTGATCTTCTTCCAAGCATTATTTTCTCTGACCTGGGGCTGGAAGGTCTCCACGCAGGCAGCTCTCAAGAACAGGACACCAAGAACGGGAGCAACTGCAGCCTGACTGCAGAGTCACTAGAGAAGAGGAAACGAGTGACATCAGCTCAAAGGAAATGAGAAATAAAATAGGCCGTAGAGGAAAGGCAATTAACCACAGCAAAGATCTGGAAAGCCCTTAAAGCTGCTTCCTCCAAGTACCGCTGCTTCTCGTGATCCTGGAAGAGGGCAAAGTTGGGATTTTCCTCCTAAAGGCAGAATAGGAATCCACTTTGTGTCCCTGGTTAGATCTGGGATTAGACAGCATCTGAGCATCCTTCCAGCCTATGAATGACAGAAGCCGGGAGCTTTCACTTAGTAACTTCGAGGAAAGGAAGTGCCAGGAAACTCATACATCCCATGGACAGAGCCATTCCCTAGCAGAGTCTCACTCACACTTGTGCTGGAGCTAAACAGACCCAGGATCCAGCCATCCCAAGTCCCTTTTTTATCTCTGGGACCTTGAGCAGACACCAAGACACCACACAGACCTATAATCACTGCAGGAGCCTCATCTCACCCTTCAGGTCCCCCCCAGCGTGGCCTGACAGAGCCAAAGCCTGGCTGTCCCCTGGTCCCCAGCTCCATACAGCCAGTGCAGGCAGTGCAGGGTCTCCCACCACACAGCGCTGGTGCTGTCACTGCGGCTCCCTCATGCTCAGCTCAAGTGGCTCCCGAGCCCCTTGGACACCCCATACTGCTGCTGCTGTGGGGGACAAGGGTGACCCTGCAGCAGCTCAGGGCTGTGGTGTCCGTGCCCCTCTAGGTGTTCTGGGCCTGGAGCAGCAGGACATCCCGCTTGGTGCAGCAGATTGCTCTGGAATGGTCCTGGGGAAGTCCGGCTGCACCCTCGGAAAGGAGCTGAGCCAGGAAGAGAAGCCCAGAGCAGTGCTGGGCTGGGGACATCCAGCTCCCAGCAGAGAGGGTGGCTTCCAGCACCGCTCTGGCTGCCCCGATGCTGCACAGCCCATTGTGTTGAGGTGCCTGCGGCCAGGCAAGCCAACCTCAGCATCGTGGCAGAGCAGCATTGCTGCCATCCACCTTGTCCCCACCATCAGTGCCCCGTGTCCCCAGCTCATGAGGAGGATGCTCTGTCAGTGGTGCCCTCCCTCTTTCCTCCTCCTCTGTTAACTGCTGTAAGGATGGGCCAAGGAACCTGACCCTTCATGGACCAGACAGAGCCCCAGTTGTGCCCCAGGTGCTTCAGGGAGCTTCAGTCCAAACCAAAACACAAGCGTGGCGGTGAGGGTGGCTGGCAGCCAGTTTGTGCCTTTGTCAACAGCAGCCAGGTCAGGAGGGAAGGGGAGCGCTGGCAAAGCCTGCAGCAATGGCCAAACAAAGCTCCTGTCCTGCTGCAGCCAAGTGCTTAGAGGAAATGAAAGCCCTGGGGCTGGGTTGGAGCTCCCATCAGAAATGTCCATCCTTCCTCTGCTCAGCCCCGTGACAGCTCCGCCGGGACAGGGCCCACGCACGTTACCCACGGCCAGCACAGGGGAGCTGTTGTAAACCCCACAGAGCCACCAGCAGGGACCAGGCAGGCTCGGTGCTGATGGACCCCTCAGGGCTGGAAGCTCTCACTGGTGCTTTCACAAGCTCTGCTTTCTGAATCAAGCACTCCCACAGCAGGCAGGACACCTCGCCCCGGGACCGGGAGCGTGCTCCCCAGTGCCCCCTCGCTGCTCCCCAAACTTACTCATTCTCCACCTTTGCCTCCAATGCTCAGCGAGGCCTCAAGCTATTGAGATGCATGGAAGCACCCAGAACAGCCCCTGTGTTGTGTACACCAGCCTCTTGCCACGCTTTGCACTTGTCCACCTCTTAATGCTGCGGGAGTTCCCTTCCTCTTCAGCTCCATTTTCAGCTCTTGCATTTAAAACATGAAAAGCTGAAGAGGGCCCAGATTCTGCACTTCCAATGGGGAAAGGCTGTGAACAGTGCCATCCCCCCTGAACTGCAGGGAACAGCACCGCTGGAGCTGGGCTGGCTTTGGCAGCCGCGCTGCACAGGGCAGAAGGTGAGCTCCATGGACCACTGCATCAGGACTTGCGTTCACAGCCCTGGCTGGGGTGGCTCTGCTGGAGGGGAAAAGGCTTCATGGAAGCCCCCATGGCCAGGGCACTGCTCCCGCTGCAAGTTACCTCCTGGCAGAGGGGTAAGGTACCTGCCTGACCAGGGCCATGCACGAGCAGGATGAGGGCTCCTGGAGAGGCTCCGAGCATTGCCTGAAGGTCTAAAGCAGGGCTCCTCACCCCACTCTGCAGCGTCCAAAGCTGTTCTTGCCACCCAGCATGGTGGGATGGGACCTTGATGAGGGCAGTCCCCATCCACACAGCCCCAAAGGCAATGGTAGTGCCAGCCTGACTCATCCCCGCTTCCTGAGCGCGGGGAGTGAGCACACACGCGTCCTCCCAGCACACCCCAATGGGGACCACGAGATGGCTCTGACGGATCCAGGAGGGACGTGCAGCCTGCTCATGTCCTGAGACACCGAGGAGCAGAAGGAGCCTGTGGAGCATGGGGAGGGAGAGCAAGCAAAGGGGAAGAAGTCTCTTACCTTGGGGACACAGCACCCGCTCCGCAAGCGGAGCCACCGGAGCCTCTGCCCAGGAGCAGGCTCGTGCGGAAGGAGGGTGCCGCTCGCTCCATGTGACTCACTTCCCTCTTGGCACTTGCAACACGGCTCAGACCTGCCCCGGCTGCGCCCTGGAGCTTGACACCAGCTCCCGAGGCCCTTCCTTGAGCAGCAGAGGCTCTGTCCTGGCCAGGGGCTCATCCTGCTCCTGTCACCCCGAGGCTCGCAGGCCCTGCCTGCAGCAGCTCCAGGGCAGGGGCATTCCCTGGCCAGGCAGGGGTGGTGTGGGCTTGCTAAGGGGGTCAGCACCTTCAGCAGATCCATCCTCTGGGCTTCTCGTTTCTTTCCAGACACTAGGACTGGGAGCCAGCACAGCATCAAGTCCTTGTTCAACTGCTGCTATTGAAGGTGAAGACTTCCCCTTGGCTGCCGCAGGGCAAAGCGTCAGGATGAGACCACTTTGCTGCGTGAGTCATTCTGGGCTGGGGCAGGCAGTTTCCTGCCCTCTCTGCAGCATCATAACCCCCCTCAGTTGTGCTTCTTCAGCCTGGAAAGACAGGGTGGGTGGGCACACGGGGACCTGCTGCTCTGCCTGCTGCAGCCCCAGCTCTGCCCTAGCTCTGCTCTCAGGTGGGATTTCCCCAGATGCCTGCTGTGGTACCACATAACATCCACCTGAGTCACCCGTGTTACACAAGGGCTGCTCGACAAGGAAACGTTGGCTTTTCTTTGCTGGTAAGAACTGGCACTGGTTTCTGCAAGGTTTCCGAGACAGCCCCCAAGGGCCTCACAGTCACAGCTGGGTGGTGAAAGCCCATGAGAGCAGGTACAACCTGCGCTGCTGGTAGGAGGCTGTTGGCACGTCCTCTAATGCCCCATCTAAGCCTGCCAGACACATACCCCAATTCCCCACCCTACAGCAAAGCTGCACCGGGTCTACTGTGGCCTTTCTCAGCAGAGGCTGAAAATGCTGCACCTAAACCAGGGTGTGCAGCTCAAAAGGGAGGTGCAGAACGGGAGCGGCACTGGCAAGAGAGCTGCCACCACGGGCTGAGGGACCAAAGCTTCCCAGGTCCCCTCCAGGGGAACAGAGGAACCTCTAGCAAAGGCTGGGTATTTCCCTGCTGCTGCTGCTGCAGCCTGGCTGGCCGATGGGAAGCTTTGCAGCCCTTGGCTGAGTAGATAAGACAGGACAAACACTGCATCATCAGACACAGAAGCGTATCAGAGGCAGGACAGAAGGAAAGGAAACAGGTACAGCTAAACTGGGAATGAAACAGCCTTGTCCTAAGCTACATATTCTGCTGCCCCAACCAAGTCATGCCCGGGGCAAGAAACAACACCAACACAGCAGGTCCCATGGGAGCTACAGGGCTCTGGTCACAGACACTGCAAGAGAGCCTGGGGCAGGCCCCACCATGGCCCAAAGGCTCATACACACACAGCATCGAGCAGCAGAACCCAAAGCATAACATGGGTCTTACAGACACTGCAAGTTCTCACAGAACTCATTCTGAGCTACTTGAATAGCTACTGGAAGGTGAGTTCCATCAGTCAGCTCAAGCTCTCTAACTAGCAGGTGATGCATGGCAGGACAAATAGAATCCCAGACTGGTTTGGGTTAGAAGGGACCTCAAAGCTCATCCAGTTCCAATCCCCTACCATGGGCAGAGACACCTTCACTAGAGCAGCTTGCTCCAAGCCCCTGTGTCCAACCTGACCTTGAACACTGCCAGGGATGGGGCAGCCACAGCTTCTCTGTGCCTCAGCACCAAGTAAGGTGAAGAAACTGCATTCCTTTGCTTACACAGAAAATAGGAACTGTATCCTACTGCTCCAAGAACTAGTTAATGTATAAAACACCAAAATACCTTACTTTTACTAGAGAAGGATGTTCCATTTTACATCTGGTCACACGGACCAGTACATGAGAAGAAAAGAAGAAACAAAGGCGTGTTGAGAGCACCAGCCACCTTTCAGCAGATCGCCTCAGTCCTGGGCGCTGTCAGGCAGCAGAACCTTCCTTGGGAGCTGCTTTTCCTGCAGCAATCTGTGTGGTAACACAGCTCGATCGCATTGCTCCTCTCCAGCAGGCAGAAATAGAAGGCAATTAATCAAAACTTAAGAGTTGAGACACCAGAAGATGTAGGGGCAGCAGAACCAATCTTTCCAGAGAGACCTTGCCTGAGACACAGAGCAGCACAAAGGATTGTGCTCCTTTAAAGATGAGGGTACACAGACAGCACATCCAAGTGAAAGGAGCTGGCTAACGGCAGCAAGAAGAAGAGCAGTATCTTCATGGAAACAGCTCCCCACAGGACCCAAATATGAGGATGACCATTAGGACAGATGGAAGGTCTCCAGAGGAGTCGGCCAGGCATGTGAATCCACAGCACACTCCACTTTCAACACCTTTAAACAGCTGAGAATCCCTTAAAGGCTTTCAGGGCACACACAAAGTAGGAGTTTACAGACCAAACCCCTTGTGTCTGAGCTCATCCCATAGCTCTAGGGAGCTACACTCCTAATAGATGCCCAAGTCCTCCCAACCCATCACCACTCCCCAGAGGCACAGCAACAAGCTTAGCTTTCAGCACAGACTCTGTCCCACCAGCATCCACCCGGGCAGCATCCAGAGAAGGGAGATCCTCCCCCCGTCCTCCTGGTGCCACTTGGACTGTCACAGTCACAGTTCCACAGCAACAGACTTTGGGATGAGAGCAGGTCCTTACCAGGGCAACGTTCCTGCTGGAGAGCAGCAGCACGCACCCCAGTGGCCAGCACTCCATTCACACCTTTCAGCTGTAGTTTGGAGTAATTCCAAGAAAAAGCAGCCCTGGTAACTTGGGTAAAAATTTATTTTACATACAGACCACTGCAACTGAACTATGAATCAAGAGAAGTTATTTTTCCTTTACAGGAAGGGACCAGCTGGCCTGAGATTAACAGAAGTCTAAGCCTGAGAGCTGGGATTTTAGGTTGGAAATCAGATCTTGGGGTGTGTGGGGAGGCGTCTTTCCAAGCACCACCCAGTTCAGTGAGAGCTGCAGGACTCAAACTGCAGGTCAGACGCACTGCATAGTGCTGGAAGCAGATTCCCAGAGTCAGCTCGGACCTTTCCGAAGCTGAACCTGCTGAGAAAGATGATGCCTGGAAAGGCACGGATGCATTTCCAGTGCTTTGTTCAGCTCTCAAACTGGAAACGGAAGTGGTGAAACACACAATGTGTGTGAAGTACAAAACATCGAGTTACAGGGCAGCAGACAAACAGGACAGCAATAATGGTGGGGACCTCCTAAGCCAAGTGCTCTACATGTAGCGGGGTCCTGGCCGACTTCCTACTATGGCCCTAGTTCAAATGGACAGAGTACAAAAAAATACTTCGACCAATAATTATACTGAAACCAAACTCAACTGAAAAGCAATTCTTACTCTAGGTGCCAATGAGTCCTTAAAAGCAGGGAGGGGACTGAGGAGCTGCGCCTGGGCAGTGCCAGGATCATTCCCGTTGCTCCATTTTTACTTTGGGAGGTCTCAGGAAGGTCCTGTTTTTCTTCTCTTTCTTCCCCTTTGTATTGGCCTGGAAATTCCTCCAGCTGTCCACACGACCATCCCGGCTTTCCTGGGAACAACAGGGAGGAGGCAGAGAGTTAAGAAGTCCAAGAGCCAGGGAATGTCTGCTATGTATAAGAGATCGTAACAGCAATGTCCCCCTTATGCAGCATGTAGCGCCCCAGCTGCTGGGACACACACTGTGGAGACAGCACAGTGAAACTACAACTGAGTTTACACCACAAGCACCAGTGTAAGCCCCATGCTGGTTTCTTGTTTCAGAAGCAAGCAGCTTGGGTTGTGCCATCCCCACTACAGCCTACTGAGTCCTCTGGTGTGCAAAGGAAACAAGAAACCTCATCTCCAGGGGATTTTCCTAATCTGTCAGCACAGAACGTGCCATCTTCTTACTCTGGCCTCACATCCTTGAGATGGCTCCCCTAGTGCTGCAGCTGTAAGTCAGAGAGGAGAGAGAAGGGAAACCTCTGCCTTCTCTCCCTCTCCTTGCCCCAAGCTTTGACACAAAGACACAATGAGGAAAGGTCTCTGGTGCACTCTTTCCTCCCCTCCCTGGCTGATTACCTCAAAGTTCTTCTGCCATTCTCGCTCTCGTTTAGCTTTCTCTTGTGCCTCTATCTCCTCTTCCCTCTGCCGCTTCCTGGAAGGGAAACCACAAAGAAGTTCTGAACCCACAACATCTGCTTTAAAGAAACACGGAATTGCTTTCAAAACACCTTGGGCAGCTCTTCTGATTTCCTGGCAGATTAAAGCGCTTCTCAGATCAGAAGAGACAAATACACAGCCCTGAGACAGCAAACAGCATGGAAGAACAGGGAGCAGAGATGGTGGTTTGGCACCACTGACAGCACACACGTACTCAACTAGGGAGTCAGCTTCTCTTGCTCAGTAGAACAAGTTGGACTCCTTTATAGCTAGTGATAAGTAAGTGTTGAGAACACACACTGTGAGAAGTGAATAAACACCTGAGCATGCAAGGCAAGAACGAATGCTCACCTGCCATCAAAAGCAGTGCCCTGCAACTACCTCCCAGACTTAGACTTTTCCAAGACTCTGATTCCTTATCTTCCCTGAGGAAGCATGAAGGGGGAAGAGCCTGAACTGCACAAGCAGAATGCTGCTCATACCTTTCGTGCATTTCTTTTGCTTCTCTTTCTTTCCTCTTAATTTCCAGTTCAGCAAAGAGCTTCATCGTCTGCTTGTATACAGCTTGTTTGAACTGCGGAACACAAACCCAGCCTTACAATAATGCCCACTAACACAGGTAGAGAAGACTGCTTTACATAAGAATATAAGAAGCATAAAAAGAAGGTGAACCATATGCTCATAAACGCCCATATTCTGCCTTGAGAGTAGTCAGTAGCAGTGAGATATGAGAAAGGCAAACCGGTCACTGTTCAGTAACTTCCCAGCAGATCATCTTGATGGGCTGTGAAAGGCACTGGCTTTCCAGTAGGGAATATCAGTCTACTTAAACTTCATTATTAAAGAACAGCAAGAGATTTCTAAACATCAATGGAAAGTACAATTGTGATGGGATTACTGTGGTGAAATCAAGAGGGAAAAAAGAAAGATGGCAATGGCAAGACCAGTGCTGTCAGTGTGTGATAATCATCCGTCGTTCTGTTCAAGCCTCTAGGATAACTTTTCAGACTAGAACTCAGGTAAGAACAACCAGGTTTTAGGTCATGCCTTTTATATGAAAAGTGATTTGTGGCCTAACAGCACATCTATCCTCAAGTGCTATTTAGAAGAAACAGCCAGAACAGCTCTTACTGCAAAACACCACTAACAGCATGTTTAGACTCGCTGCAGTGGGTTCTATACTGGCATCAAGAACACCACAGTTCCTGCATTCAAAATACAAGAAATTCAGCACAAAAAGACAGCATGGTGCACAAGCCATGAAGACTTGCTCCAAAGAACATGGTATTTTGATCTATGTAATCTCAGGATAGATTTACTCTTTACACTACAGTTACATTA